GTGAGACTCCAACTCAAAAAAAAAAAAAAAAAGTCGAGCACTTTCGGAGGCCAAGGTGAGGGGACTGCCTGAGCCCACAGCTTCGAGAACAGCCTGGGCAGCTTGGCAAGATCTCATCTCTACAATAAATTTAAAAAAAAATTAGCTGAGCTGTGATAGTGTGTACCTGTAGTTCCAACTACTTGGAAGGTGGAGGCGGAAGGATTGCCTGAGCCCAGAAGGTCAACACTGGGTGGCTGTGAGCATGCCACTGCACTCCAGCCTGGGTGATGGAGTGAGACTCTAACTCCAAAAAAAAAAAAAAAAGTCAAGTCCAGGGTCCAGCCATAGATGTCTGCTGGGCAAGGGTATCTACTCAGACAGCAGAGCACCATGGTAAAGGGAGCAGCCACAGGCAGCCAGGCCTGATCCTGGTGACAGACCCGGGCAGGGGGACAATACCAAGGAGGCATACCCTCAGATGGATGCTCAAAGCCACAGTCCACGATGGCCCTCAGCAGCTCAGGCTTCAGCAGAAAGTCCCGGAAGCCAGAGCTGTGGATGGAAACGTAGGAGCCCTTGACGTCCTTCTTTGGGGGAGCGGGCGTGCTCTCTAGAGGAGCCTGGGGCTCTTCATCCTCCTCGTAGTCCAGAAGCTCATTCTCTACATCCTGTTCTGCCATGGTGCTGACAGCAGGAAGAAGGTCCCTGCAAGCAGGCACAGAAAGTGGATGGAGCAACTGGGCTTGGTGGCTCAGCCTGTAATCCCGCGCCTTGGGAGGCTGAGGTGAGTGGATTGCCTGAGCCCGTGGGTTCGAGACCCGCCTGGGCAACTTGGCGAGACCTCATCTCTACAATAAATCAAAAATCAGCCGGGCGTGGTAGTGCGCGCCTGTAGTTCCAGCTACTTGGAAGGCTGAGGTAGAAGGATCGCCGGAGCCCAGCGGGTCGAGGCTGAGGTGGCTGGGAGCGGCCACTGCACTCCAGTCTGGGCGACAGTGAGACTCCAACTCAAAAAAAAAAAAAAGAAAGTGGATGGAGCTACTGCTAGACAGCAGTCTCCGGTGCCCCTTCCCTCGGCATGCCATCACATCCACCTGCACAGCATCTCCCTGGACATCTCTGCCACCCACCTGGGCCACCCCATCCCTACTTCCTCTCTCCCCAACCCCCTCCACCTCCAAAGGGAATCTCACCTCCTCATCATGGCCCTTGCAGCCCTCCTGGCTCAGCACCTGCCACCTCACCCATGCTATCCCATGGAGCCCCAGCCCTAAGCCCTTAAGCCCTGCTGCCCACCCCCGACAAATGCTCTGCTTCCAGATCTCTGCACAAAGACCTCCTTGACATCAAGTCTCAGTTCGAATGAACCTCCTCAGACCACCGAGCCCAAAGGCACCTCCTCCCCATCGCTGCCCAAGGAGCCCAGTGGCCTGGAGGTGTGGCTGCCAGGACACTGTGGGGACCAAGTCTGCCAGGGAGCAAGCAGCGTGTGCCCAGCTGAGGCTTTTCCCGCCATCTGTGGTCTGCACAAGAGAATCATTAAATGCTCTCATGAAAGGCCTCCCACCGGACCCTGGCCAATAAAAATAAAGCTGATGGAAAATGGAATTAACACAGAGCCTGCTCCCCTCTTTGCTTTTTTTTTTTTTTTCTTTTAAATCAGAGTCTTACTTTGTCACCCTGGTTGGAGTGCAGTGGAATGCTCATGGCCACCACAGCCTCGACCTACTGTGCTCAGGTGATCCTTCCGCCTCAGCCTTCCAAGTAGCTGGAACCACAGGCATGCGCCACAATGCCCAGCTAATTTTTTGATTTATTGTAGAGATGAGGTCTTGCCAAGTTGCCCAGGCTGGTCTTGAAGCCCTGAGCTCAGGCAACCCTCTCACCTCCACCTCGCAAAGCACCAGGATTATAGGCGTGAGCCACCACGCCTAGCTACCTCCTCGCTTTCTTTAATCCAATGCATACCCAGTGCCTGCTAAGGGCAAGGGACCCAAACATAAGAAGACTTGTCTTCTGTCCTCCCTCCCCATTCCCGGCCTCCAGTCTAGGGGGCAGAAAAGCTGAGGCCGCACACTGAGGGTCATGCTCTGTGATCTCATCCAGCCCCTGGCTTGAGCCATCTCTCTTACGACGCCTCCCAAACTCGTGGAAACCTCTTCCCTCCAATCCAGACCCAGTCATCAGCTGCATCCTCTGCATCCTTGAGGGATCTTGGAAGTTAAACCCAAAATGCCCAGAGCAACACTCTTCATTTGTCTCAGAAAAGGCAATCCCAGCCGGCTCGGTGGCTCAGCCTGTAATCCTGCACCTTTGGGAAGCTGAGGTGAGTGGATTGCCTGAGCCTGCGGGTTCAAGACCCACCTGGGCAACTTGGCAAGACCTCATCTCTACAATAAATCAAAATGAGCCGGGCATGGTAGCGCGCGCCTGTAGTTCCAGCTACTTGGAAGGCTGAGGCAGAAGAGCGGCCACTGCACTGCAGTCTGGGTGACAGAGTGAGACTCCAACTCAAAAAAAAAAAAAGGAAAGGCAATCCCATTCTCAACAGCTCTGCCTTCTCTTTCAACCTCCCTGTCCACTGGGCCAGCAAATCCCACTGAGTCCCTCCAGCCACTTCTCACCTAGGTGACCACGATGACCCCAAACTGCCATCACCTGGTTTTTTAAAATTAGAACAGCTTTACTGAGATATTCACATGCTATACAATTCACCACTTCAAGGATACACCCTGGGGGTTTTTAGTATAATCATAGACTGTGCAGCCACCACCAGTCAACGTTAGAACACTCCATCACCTTAAAAAAAACCAGTCCCTCTATGCTATATCTATCGCCTCCATCTTCCCCATACCCCCCCAGTCTACTTTCTGTTTCTAGGGGTTTGCCTTTAGAAAGTTCTGTACCAATGGGCTCTTGCCATCTTCCCCTCAGCGTGTTTTTGAGGCTCACCCAAGGTATGGCACATGTCAGCGCTCACCTGATATGCGTCCTCTGTTAGCTGGACACTTGGGCACATTATCTCTTGCCCAGGTTCAACCAACAGTTACCTCACTGGTCTCCCTGATGCCATCCCCCAGGTCTCTCCCCACAGCAGCCAGAGGGAGTCAGAGGATAGCACTGCTCTGCACAAAGCTCTCCAGAGGTTCCCACTGTGCTCAGATTAAAGCTCAGAGTCCCCACCAGCCTGCCAGGCCCCTCATGACCTGAGCCCCCTATACTCAGGCCTCACCTCTCCATCCCCCCACACTCACTGGCCTTGCTGCTGCACCTCCGACACACCTCAGCACCTTTGCACTTGCGGTTCCTGCTGCCTGGACTGGTCACAAACCTCTTCTTCCTCTGGGCTACCTCTGCTCCAGAAGGCCATTTCCTCACACCTACGACTTATTGAGCACCCCTTCGGCCTGGCACACAGCAGACAAGCCCCCAATAGCAAGGCTGAATAAATGGAACTAGAATCAAGGCCTTCAGACAGAGTTTAGCATGTCTCTTTACCTGACTCTTGGAACAGGCAATTTGTTACCAGCCCTGAAGATGGCCAAGGGTTAAGACAGGAAGAGGTCATTTCCCAGGCAGCAGGGAAAACAACAGGAGCCAAGAAAGGTCAGTCCCAAAAGCAACAAACAGGACAGTGGGACTGGCTGGCTGAAGGTGGCAGAAGACAAAGCTAGCTAGGAGAGCTGGTCAGGCCTGGGGCAGATGTACTTAATTTGCTAAGTAATAGGGAATCACTGATTAGGTTTCTGAGCTGAGTGACTCAATCAGGATCTGCCCAAGAGTACTGTAATTTACTCCACAGATGGAGTGGGAGATAAGACCAAGCACAGGGAAAACCAGCCAGCAAATGAAAAAGAAGGGAAGGAGAGGGAGGGGCCCTCCCCTGGTCGGTCGAAGGATAGAGAAGAGCCACAGTCACCTATTCTAGGTTCCCAATCTAGATGACCAAGAGATGGTGTATCTAAAAGAAATGAGGCGGATGTCACCCAAGTTGGGTGTCAGCGGATAGACAAATTTAGGGACAAACTGAGTTTGCTGAGGTACAAAACCTTCCAGGAAGCGACTGCACAAGAACTGAAGCTCAACACAGATTAGATCAGGCGAGGATCTGGCTGGGTTTGCCCCACCCAGAGGTGGCTGCGACCTCGGAGCAGATAAGCTTCAAAGCTGACACCGGGATAAATCACAGTCCAGACACGCCGTGCGGACCCATCTACCCTCAGGTGGCCCCAGGCAGGCTTCCCACCTCGAGGCCTGTTCCCTACCAGGGACTGCTATTTCCGAAAGATATCCCCCCCCCCCACCAATCTCTGGAACCCGAATCCCCTAAAAGGAAAACAAGGTGGAGTGGGACAGGGGACAGGCAGCCCCTTGAACTCGGAGAAGCCCGTCCCGTCTGGAAGCCTCGACTTCTCCCACCGAGGCCCCAGATCCTGGCGTCACCCCCTGAGTCTCTCCCCAGTGGGCCCCAGGCTGCCTCGGAGTCTACCCGGACCGACGGACTCGGACCGGCTGACTCGCAACGTCGGGCTCGGCCCGCCGGCAGCCATGA